CACATGTAAAGGTGGATATTTCAACAAAAAATGGTTTCTTAATGATCGGATATTGATAGTGACCTTGTTAGTTTTACTTAACACTGGATAACTCCAGGATAACTTTCAACACCCCTACTTAATAATTATTCGACTTGCTGTAGAAAGTTCTTCTTGATTTAACTACCTAAAGTTGAATTCACACATTTATTTGCTCGTGCAGAAAATTAATCGCATATTTACTGTCAAAAATCATTGGATTCTATATTCTACTTTTGGTCGCCCCACTGTAATATATGTGAGACTTGAAATTCTGTCGACCATAATTCTTAGCTGTATATAGACCTATAGCAACTATCCTTCAACCAATTTAGATTATGATTAATTTTGGTTGAGCCCTTTTATTAACCTTCTTAACAAATAATGTTATTTCGACAGTAAAAATTCGCATACTTCTTTGTATTGTGGTGTGTGCTACTTATAAGTAGCATATGATGGTAGTCGTGAACATAACGTCTAGCAGCAGAGAAACAAGAGGATCGAACAGTAAAGAATGGAAACAGAATGCAATCTGTATGAAAATGCAAGAACAATGAAGTCTGATTCATTTTGAGACAATTGGTGGACATTTTGCAAATTACGTATTTACTATTTGATTGTTAGATTTTATTAACAAGTCCTGTAATTTTGTGTTAAATATATTCGATTTTCCACATCCGTTTTCTGTTCACTACATTATCATTATGATAACTAGAGCACATACAGGCTCTAGATAAGATGTTGATTGCTTAAATATCACTCGATGATTCACCCTCCTCCCCATGTATGTGTAGTGACTCACATTTACCACGAGAACACGACTGGTTTAACAAAAACGCTTATTATTATAACCAAGTGTACCATTGACTGTTTTAATGTGCTTTTGTTTAACTGTGCTAATGACAGCTATTTTGTGCTTCCATTCTTACACTTAAATTTTGATTGTAACTTCGCACGGATTCGGTTACGTTCTGTAACCAAACTTGCATCCTGGCACGATCTCGGTATCCTTTCGATGCCACGAGATCGCCAGCAAATAAACATCGACTTGGTCCATTAATTGCCTTCTGGTATTTGGCTTCTCGGAGATTTTATGGGTTTCTTTGGTTACGTTTAACCCTCGCCTTCTGATTTATTTGGCACGTGTTTCTTGGTAGCGGTATTCATAGTTAAACTCAACTCAACACCACGCTACATATGTATCTACTCAAACCATATTATTAGCTTAAACTTTGCCTTGCTGAGCCCTTATGCATTTCGACTATAAATTTACCTTTGCAATTGTTTGCACATACTCATTCGCCTCTCCGCTTCAAATTCGCTCGACATCCTTATATGTTTGTGATTTGCGCTATCTGAGTATAAACTGTAGTTGCCGTTTCTCATTGTCTTCTGGTTTTACTTACCGCTGAGTTTTAAATTACAACGGTTGTCGAGGTGATCGACCAACGAAGTAAAGCCACTACATACTGAATTCAAGCAAATTCCTTATAGGATTGTGTTAGGGCATGTTGACTGGCTACTTCATAACCAATCAGAGCTAGCGGATACTATGAGAAGGCTCTTGAATTTTTTGTATAAACTAAATACAGTTTTTTATTGTGATTTCAAATAACACTGAATTTTTTTATTTAGGAGATGTGGTTGCGCCCCTCTCCAACAATTTTATGATTTGAGAACATGACGAGTGGCTGAGTTGCGAACTAGAGTTCTTAACTGTGAATAACTTTCTCCAGAAGCATTTTATAATCGGTTGCATCTATAGACCACCAAGTACCTCTGATGCCATGAGCAGACATTTGAATGATGTATTATTTCATTACCTTGAGCTAAGTTAATAGGTGACAACATCAGAAGGCCGTCCTTAAGTTGGAATCCAGTACGTGATCCTTCTTATTTTGAAAAATTCTTTCAAGTACAAGAAACAAACGGCTGGAGTCAGCTAGAAAAGCTAGCCGACAACACTTAATTATCCTACGAAATACCGAATATGTCAGTCTTGAATAACCATGTAGTGATAACAAAGTTGTAGCCTGTCAACTTATTACGTGAAAAAGCCTTAACACTTCTACTGGAAAGTCCTTATGGATTCAATCAAAAACTTTGCAAACGCTGTCTGCTACTACGAAATTCTTCACTTTTGATCTAGTTGAGATCAGCTTTTTCCTATTGACATTATTACTGGACTGGATTTTCTTTCTTTTAAAATCAAACTTTTCTGGACTTATTCGCGTCAATTAAGACAAAAAGTATTGTATGTCTTTTGTCGTGATTATGTCCCCAACAAATACAGATCTAAACTGAGTAACTTGCAAAATAGTTTGTTTGACATGACTATTCAGCTACCATCGACACCCAATCAGTATTCGTCAAGCAAACTGGGCCGTACGTCAATATTCGCTCTATATTGCTTTTAGGTACTCTTACTTATATGTGTCTGTGATATCTTTGTCTCTCGTATATGGTCATCAAATTCCACATAATGCCTGGATACGATCAAACGGTAGTCTACATTGTGTATTGACTGTGAGTTGTGACTTTGACGTACACTGATTGGTCACACTACTTTCGTTTGACTCGGGTTGTCCTTCAGTCATTAACATAGATCACCTACGTTGGTGATCTTCACTAATTTCATACATTTACTTTAAGCTGTGAAATATTAACACGCTCACTAATCGATACACATGACACCTAAAACACTTGTTTTCGTGTATTATTCTAACTCACCACACTTGTACGATGAATCCGAGACATTCCTGTACTATTGTGCAAGAGTATTAGCATATTGAGGTACCTCCATCACAAAGACAACACACCATTATAACCAAATTTGAGACAAGCGATTAATTATAATAATAAATGTCTAATATCTCAGTCTATCCGACTAGTGAACAAATATGATATAGGAAGATCGAAAAACCCTATTGAGGAGCATCCTAGTCAACTATATGAGCTTGCTGCTTACATCGTGAAACCTGTGGGTTCATTCCTTAACACAGTTGTGTTTGAATCAATCGTGACACTTTCTGGAAATTAAAACGAACCTGCAGCATGTCGTCTACGCCTAACATGTTTATTTCTCTTTTGAGGAAACTTTGTCCCCATAAAAACCAGAAGCTACATACTATAGTTTTTTGGCGATTTCTGAAGATCTACCTTCAAGTCGAACCGATAAAAGTACTATCAGATTTAAAAAATCTTAGTCGAGAGAAATCTACTTCTGTGAAATTCTGACTGTTGTGCTGCATGCAGACAAATAGTACGGAATAATGATAGGCTGAAAAGTGGTGGTTATTGTAGTGGACCAGAAAACAAGTGTAGATGATTGACAATAAATGGTCTATAAAGCTTGCTTATACAGTCCGACTAAACATCCTGGCTCTCAAGAGTTAAAATATAATGTTATGACTGTTCAACTCAAACAATTTTTCACTAGAGTCACTACATTTAACCTGTCCTAGCCTCATTCTTTCTAAGTTGTCAGGCTGCCCTTGTTCTACAATGCCTTCGGAACACAGGCAGAATTTTACTAAGCGGAATTTGACACACTTGTCATGACGGATATGAAAAATTAGGTATAGGAACCTACAGATAGCCACACTCACCAGCATCAGTAGGTGAATTATTCAGTTCTTCCATGGTATGGATATAGAGTTTTGTAGATGATTCAGCTTTCAGTGATCAGTATTTTAATTCAGGGGTACGGCGAATCTGCGAGATAATTTGGCTTGACCTTAGAATGTTTTCATCAAACTAGAAGTACATGGCAAACTGTATCTTACTCATCTTATGTATGAATTATATTTTCGGTTTTCTAATATCGTTGATCATTTCACATCCCGACGATCTATTGACATGAATATTATCATGAGAGATCCTGACCTACTAATAGAATGGTCGGGTGTTAGGTGTATGGCGAAACAATGCCCCTAGGTTCATTCTGATGTAAAGTGTAGGATTCAGTACCTTTTTTACAAAAAATAATGTGATCCAGAGTTTGTAAGTATTGAAATTGAAAATTAATATATTTACCTAACCAACAGCTGCTAGAGTTGTTAACACTAAATTGAGTATCTATAGAGAAATCTGTCAACTAAAATCAACCAATTTATGACTTAAAACACTTTTTTCGTTTTCCCAATCCAGTCCATTATCCATAGGGACCCAAACCTTGCAGATAAAGTCTACAATCCATTACATTCCACCGTCTTATAGTTGAACTCGATGACCCAGAATTTATGCAGATCTTTTATGCGCAATGTATGCAACCAACTGAAGACTTCTTACTTATCTCTCTTTCCAAAATGAAATTATTAACTGTAAAGACAGTGCGGTGGACCAAGTTCAGAAATGATGATAGAGTTATTGCAAAAAGTACGAAGATAGTTGATAATACATCCAACCACAAATATCAACAAACAAAATGCATACAAAGTTTTGAGTTTTGATTTGGTAATTCTCAGTTTAAAAAATACTTTAGGATACTAAGTATAATAAATATAATCAAAGATAATAGGTATACGGAATAATTACGTAATGGAAATATCAATACGATGTTTTAACATGGATTGCTGATGTACAAGACGTCCGTTATAGAACTAGAAATGTGTATGCACCAGAGTATGAGACAGTGAAAATCAGTTTCAAGCGAACAGAGAACAGAGAGATAACAGAAGACCAATGAAAAAGTTGAACAGCGACACGACAATCAACGAAAGAGACTGTGCAAGCTGTGTGCAGCTGTGAAAAATGCTCATCATAACAAAAATTACTTATTAAATACACTCATAATTACCAAAACAGTACAATTCTTGTAGACTGTTGAAGCTAAGAACCGCGTGAGAAATATGAAGACAATGAAAACGAATTTCGCATTTCACAAGAATTGACATTATTGGTTAAGAAATGCTGAATTTATTATGCAAGTTTTGCTGGAGGTTTACTAGCACCATTTTTAAAACGTAACGTTGCCTTAAGGCATGGTTTCTCAAGGTAGTTATTTGAAGGCATAGTGTTCATCATTGTTTGCAAAATTAAAATATTTTATTTGGTTCCACTCAAGTATTCTAAAAATTTCGACGTCTTGGAGGAATTGATAAACTCAGTGGTAACTTCGGAATAAAGACAATACCGAATCGCAAAATTTAAACTAGTCCAGTGAACTTCCATAAACAATTCATTGGCTTTTGAGGACTTCTCCAAAATTTTATAAAAACTTCGACACAGAAACGTGAAAATTGCTCAGATTCTGAATATCGATGAAGTTAATCTTTTTCGAAATCCAACAGAAATTTAGTGAGACTATCATTTATCGACAACGTTTGAGCAACTCTGAAATGATCATGGAATGTCTACATAATTATTAGGATTAAATGAGGATTTTATGTTGATATAAGGAATTAGGGACGTTAGGATTGAAAATTAGTCAAAATGAGTGGTTGAATTTCTCTCCAAATCCAAAGATCCATCTTAAATTTGATTAGTTCGTTCATAGATTATGGCCTCACCAGGAATTTCTGCTGCGTAAGTACCTCCAGTAACATACAGAAATATCCTTATATATCTCCTTTGGACGTCTTAAATTGCATAGTGTTAGCGAATAGTTCGGTCAAAAGTCAAATCGTAGTTTTGCAGTGATTTATGACAATGTAGAAGGACTGGAATTCTTTGTTTGAAGTGTGCATAACTTAAATTGTTGTTATCATTCATTGTCATGTCTAATTAAGTTCACCTTTGCAGTTCAATTCGTATACAAGAAAAAGTTAGCGTCCAGTTTGTCCTATGATAATGAAATTCTCCCTTAGCATAGACCGCGTCGTTATTAGTGTAATCAATAAGTACTAGTTATGCTTAGTAGTTTGCTAGTTAACAAACAATTGTGTATCTGCAGGCAGTGTCCAACACCAAAGGAAATCATGGATTGGGTTAACGCTGGTGCTGGGAACTTTGAGCGACTAATCTGGTATACATTCCCAGAAATTTGGCCTTCTAGATGGATTCTGAAAAGAATGCGAAAACCTATTCTATATCGTTTCCTATAACTTTCCACTGAATTCCCGAACTGCATTCCTCTGAAATTTCCCGTTAGCTTTCCCACAAAGTTGGGAGTATGTAAAATATTCATGAATGTTGTTGAGTTCTTCATTAGGTCTAACATGCGGTTCCATTTTCCTGGTTTTGTTGAGTCATCGTATTTACTACTTATGGCATGTAGAGAAACGTTTGCATATAAACAAACCTTCATCAAAGGTAGCATCTCAGTGTGGAGCCAAGCCTCTACAGTTATTTGGTGAACATCATCCAGGTTATCCATAGGTATGTATTAAACCTAAAGATAATCAAGAACGACATATTTAAAGAAACGTTTGGTGGGATTTAGACGTACTTACCTTTTATTGTAAACGCACGGTGTGAGTTGCATAATCTATACTTTTTTTTTAGTGCTAAACCATGATTACTGGTCAAAAATATAACGTAAAATTTTTTGATAAATCGCTATACATCTCTAGTGATTTCGTAGTATATTTTGGCGTACCATTGAAAGTCACCTAGGACTAATAATTTTATATTTGCTAGTGAATTCATCGTTAGAAAGTTTATGCTCTGAAGCCGTATACATCAATACGCTCAGAATAGTCGAGTTGTTAACCGAACTCTCCCAAACCCAGGTATTCTCAACTCGTGTTTTTACTTTATCATGAAGGAGTTTTGTTATTTTGGAATTGTTAAGTATCGACTCCTCGAAATAGTCTATCAAATACGTTGTGAATTTAAATATACCCACTTGTTAGTTTTTGTAATTCCACCTGATCTTTGAACCGGTATTATCGTAGCTACCACTTAGCAATTCACTGTAAAAGATAATGTTTACGTTCATGGCTGTGTTGATTGTTGCAATGATGTTTGTATCAAAAATTAAAGATCTAGAATGTCTGAACATTGCGTATGTACTGTTACATCACGATGAGGGAACGCTTGTTCTTTAATGAAGCTGATTCGATATGAAAAGTACAGAAAACAAACTTTGTTTGATTACAAATAACTTTACTATAATGACGTCCGAATTAAAAATCACATTTTTTATACTAATCGACGGATATTTATCGTTAATGTGATCTAGGTAACATTTACTTTTGATTGCATCCAAGATATTGACTTCGATTATGACTACGAAATCCATAGAAGACTGATCCTCAGGAGGCAGGTGGCCTTCGACCAGGTCATGGACGCACTGATCACATCATCGTCCTCTGAGAACTGTTAGTGCACTGCCACACTTGGTACAGACGTGTTTCTTGATACCAAAACCGTTTTCAATTCGTTGGGCAGCTCTGCACCTTAGGATTGTCTGTTGAATAACGTAGTGACTAAGGAGCTTGTTAACATCGTAAAGGTTCTGTACACACTTTAGACAGTCACCTTTCTCCGTTATTCTGATCTAGCAAGGTTACCCACACTTACCATTCTTCAACTTCGATATCGGCGACATTCTAAGAACAGTCCTTAGCATGGATCTCCAGGTACTATTATTACCTGCTTTTCGTACTGAGGTTTGTTTACCGATGCCCCCAAATGCCCTGGTACGGCCAAAAGTTGGGAGAGTCCGCTCACCCTCTCGAAATGCTCTCACATGACCACGCGTATATAGCCTCTGCCAGGGAAGTCCTCATTGCCTTCTCGTGGCCAGGGTGTTGTTTACGAAATTGAGATGACGAAAGCGAATGTCCGGCGCTTTAACCTGGTTGGTGGACATGGAAAGTTCACCTAAGGGAGTTGGAAAACCCTAATTCCAAACCAATGGTGCACATGGGCTCCAGTACCCTGAGGGAACAAATGGCGTATGAACCAATTATTAGTCACCGGCTACCATGGGAGTGCATCTCCTTACGATGCTCCACTGCCTTGTGGATCAGACCTTCAGGTCGAAGGCTCGGGGAGTGGCCTCCTAAGAAAACCATCTGCTTCAGTTTGGGCACCCGGGCAGTATCACAGCCCTCACACATATCAAATGAGATGTGTGGTGCATATTCATTTGGTGCCCCCTTGTACCAATATCTATGTGTTGAAATAAAACAAATTAAATAGTTTACCGATTCCATCGTAGTGCACATGAAACAAGACCTGCAAATGTAGTTACCAATCCTTAGATTTGTTCAGAAATATCAGGAACCCATCACAAATAACTCTCAACAGTAAGTTTTTATCAACGCTGGTAAATCTGTTCAAAGTTTGTCGTAGTGGCGTTGGAAGATGAAAGCTTCATGACTAAACCAATTGACTCAGAGAACAAAACCCCACCAAGGTGAATAGTATCGTAAACCTGTTTGCTATGTTCGATAACATCCAAATGTCGACCTGTATACCAGACATCACTATAATAGCTGAAGGTGAACTAAGTTTTGTTAAAATGATTCTGGTAAGAATTTTTAACGTTTAGACTGTTTGAAAACCCTAGGCCACTGTTCAATAAGCCGTTTTATCGTTCATGGTGGACCATGCACGAGTAAATGTTAATTCTGCTTTGTACTTCAGGACTACAGAATTATGTGAAATTAGTTATTGCTGTTATCATTTTAAATCATGATTTTGTCCTTTCGCTTTTACAAACAGATGTTTACATAAATGTTGCGATTCTAGAGTCTAGTACTATGTCATTTCTCCAGGGGTTATTCTAGCCTTCATACAGACCAATTTCTTATTCCTGAGTCACAGTTTGACCTTGTTAACTGTTCCCCCATAACCTCTATTCATCACGTCTTTAGCTTGTTTTTATCTGAATAAAAATGGGGAGTTACACCACATCAAATCGAGTTGGCACGCTTGTCTTCGCTTCGCATTCTTGCTTCTCATCTTGATATCTGCCTGAGATAAATTCATCCGCCTTAATCCGTATTTGGCTTCTTATTACCACCGTCGCAGAAACGGGGTTAGCGTATGTCTAATATATGGAATTAAACGGAAGATTTACACTCATGACACGTTCATTAATTCAAATTGATGCCAGGTCAACAGGCCAATTTTATTCTGAGATCTCAAAAATTAAATTCATTACTACTGTTTCCTTACCTTTTAGATGATGAATTCGTTGTTCCTCACATGGATTTATCTTGTTTGCAAAATTCAATAGCATATCAGAAAGTTCTTGAAGAACCTTGGACTTACCTTCACAATTGGGATTCTCTAACTCCCAGTGTTCAACAAGAGGTGGCACAAAACTTCCTAAGTGAACTAAGCTCACTTAAAACTGAAATGGCGGTTACCCAAGGTGTATTTGATCCTTCCATGTTTGTTAATCAGGATGCTCCGTGTGATACAGCAGTATGTTTTGATGACAAACTTTTATTTTAAACTATCTCAAATACTTGTTTTAACTGAAATAAAAAACGATTTTAAAATTATAGGTTAGATAAGGCCTTCATGTCTTTATAAACGGTCGCCTAACTAAAACTGGTGAACTGCAAACACGAGGAAATCAGGCTGACTTCAAACCCGGTCGTGGCTGCATCGACCACATATTCACCATTCACCAGATCTTAGAACACAGACATGCTTATCGGCGTACGACAATGAAAGTTTATCTTGACCTAAAAGCAGCATTTGACTCTGTAGACCGAGAGGTTCTGTGTCAGTGTCTGTCATTGGAAAGCGTTCCTCAGAAGTACATAAACCTTGTGAAGGCTCTTTACTCGAACACTACCAGTTGGGTCAGTGCTTATGGAAAGTTTTCATCTGATTTTTCAACCTCAAGTGCTGTCCGTCAAGGCAGTCCACTATCTCCATTTTTGTTGAATTTCATCATAGACCTACTGCTGGAAATAACGTTCTCGTTGACTGAATTTTCGGGGATTGACCTCCTACGAGGAGGGCCACTTATTGACTTAGAATACACAAATGGCATAGTCCTGTTTGGTGAAGACGTGGATAAAATGCAGAGTATTTTGGTAGCACTGAGCAACAATGTCAGGATGTTTGGGATGTGTTTCTCCCCCTCTAAATGCAAGTTGTTGCTTCAGCGCTGACTTGGGTCAACACCTGAACTGTGGATAGGGAGTGAAGTAGCCGAACACGTCGACAACTTCACTTGTCTCGGAAATCCGATCAGCCCTAATGGGTTGGTGTCAGACGAAATGTGATCACAGATTCGAAATGGTCGTTTAGCTTATGTCGTCTCAGAGAATTCCACGTCGTGCATTATTTGCCGACGCTAGGACTGGTTGGAAAAAGCGGAGAGATGGCCAGTGTATGACATCGTGTCGGGATATGAAAGAAAGCTGCAAAGGACTGGCTTCTGTTGGTCCTTCTCGACTGCCTCGCTGGGGTCCGAGAGATGGTGTAACACAGTGGCTAGAGACGTTATGAGATATGGACCATAATAGAAGCCAGTGGCGATCCTGCTGTAATCTACTCTTGCTTTCTTCATAAAAAGTGGATGTAACTTCCTTAACTGAAAGGATTCTTCTGGTTATACCTTTCCGTTTACCCATTATTATTCTTATTACACTACCTTATACTAATCTGGTCGTTATTGTTCTTTTTTTCTTTTACGCTCCCTACCTTTTTTTCTTTCCATTCTCATTGTTATGTGTGGCGCATACATATTTGGTGCCCTCTTGTGTTCAAATAAATAAATAAATAAGTTTGGCTTATGCCAACTTACGTCACCTGTGACGAAGGCAAGATATCCGTCTATCAATAAAAGGACGAGTATGCAGCGCAGCAGTTGGTTCTGTTTTATTTTGTGGCTGCCAGACGTGGCCAGTAGGGATAGAGAGAGGGTACTTGTAAGTTACTAGTATTTGATTCCATATGTTTCAGAAAGATCTCCAGCACTGCTGGGATCACTGGGTAATAGTGAGTAATAATGAGGTTAAACTCAGGGTATTAGGGAATGATGGTAAATCAGTAGATGAGGTTGTGAATCTTCATCAACTGAGATGGTTGGACCACGCGTTGCGTATGCCTGAACACCGTTTACCACGACGCGGTGTTGGGGGTGGTTGGAAGAAAGTTAGAGGTGACCAAGCCGAAACGTGGCATAATTTCTTGGAGTCACAAACTTCTAGTTTGAGCCATGTTGTTAGATGCAGACTACTTTGTTGGGGTCTGTGTGACTATTGTAACTAGTGTTTGGATACTGTGGGTGACATGGCTCAGAATCGATCACAATTGGGTGGGTGTATACACTCTCTGTCTTCCCTTAAATTACCAAATTGAAATCGCTTCATATCTTTCTACGTATTGATTCCTTCTTCCTGTACTATATCCTTATATGCAATCTTTCTTTTATATATTGCCACTATTGAATTAACTACTTCTATGAATTTGGTGTTCATCTTGCTGTGCTAATGCGGTATGGCAATTTGGACCGATGTATGTATGTGCCTGGTCCTACGTTTAAGCTGACTGACTGAGACAGTACACTATTCTTCAGGAAAAATTCTGCGTGCTTATCAAAATTGTAAAGAACTTGGATCTGTGCAACAAATTACAACATCTTAAAATAAACGTTTACTGGTTATCTAGAAAGATCATATTGAGAAAAACACTGATAAGTTTCACAAGGATAAACTTAATATATTCCGAAACATACGGATACATATCACCCTTACCGATGGTATTCTTTAGCTCAAACTCAACAATTAATTAGAATAGCTGGGATGTTATAACTGTAAGCTAGATTGTTATTTCTAGTTGATGATTTAAGTTTTGACCTAAGTTCGCTTTCATTACTTATTCTTTTTTAAAATATCGTATTCTGCTCTAACACAGAAAGCGTTTATTCTAAGCTATTCCGTATATGTGAATTAAGGTCTGAAAATCTTTGATATTTTCTGTCACACTTAAAGCGTAAAATTCAGAGTCCATTCGAGCTTATTCTTACAAAAGTGGTAAATGAAAGATATGATCAGTTAATGACAGGTCCCCGTAAAATCCGTGATTTTTACAATGATTTAGTTCTTGGTGGCCGTACATCACATCTGCGTTAATGAAATCCTACAAATTATACCATTTAGTACCTTGAGTCTTTATGAAAGGTACTCCACAATAAAGTCGGCGGTATTCTTAGAATACAATATCGAAATCCATCTTGTGTTCCGGTCTGAGACATGAACTTTGATATTCTAATTATATGACTATCCTATCTTTGTTTTGTATAGAGTATTTTTAATACCTTGTGGGATTTTGTGTTAAGAAACAAATAAAATAGAAGCAGAACTATAAGATAAAGAGCGGTGAGCCGTAATAAGATCCATAAAGATGGTTGTCCAGTTTTAGAAACTAAGCTGAAGTTTGAGAGCTGGACATAATCCCATCTGACTGGCTTCGATCTCAATCTCTCCAGTTTACAAGAAAGAATAATTCTGTTTTGATAATCATAAAAGAATCATTTTGGTTAGTGTAGGATCTAACGTACTCTAATCATCTACCGCTTAACTAGGGCTTATAAAGATCGAACCTGAAACAATCAGGCTACTTTCATGCTTGGACATGGATGTATCGATCAAATGCTCCCTCTTCGCTTGGTTTTGGAATCCAGGCGTACGTACCGATACCCAACCTTAATTTTATTCCTTGGTCTTGTGGTCTCGTTTTACTCTGTTGAACTAAAGGTTGTATGTCAATCTTCGTTATCGAAAAGTGTATAAAAAAGGCTTGTAAACCTTGTACAGGCTCTCCACTTGAATACTATTGGCTGAGTCAAAGTTTATGGTGATTTTTCACCAGAATTGTTGACCTCAAGTGCTTTTCAGCATGGTTGCTCACTACCCACCGTTTTATTTAACTTCTCTGTAATGTCCTCCTAGAAATAACTCCATTCACCTAACCTTTCAGAGGTTGACCTTTTGCCACGAGGTTTGCTTATCGACTAAGAATACTCAGGTAATCTAGTCCTATTTGATAAAGACGTAGGCAAAATGCAGCTTTCAGAAATGTCGTGCATTACCGCTTTAGAGAACGAAGTGGTTTTGTGTGTTGATAACTTCATTTATCTTGAGTTCCATCAACACTGGCGGGTTGGTGTCTGAGTAAATCGGCACACGAATACAAAAAGTCTAACTGCCTTTTGCTAACTTTCTCCTCTTTTTGTGTAGGCAAGATGCCTGTCTACCAACTAAAATGCATGTATACTGTTCTGTGCATCATTTCATAACTATAAGACATAAAAATCGAAAGTAGAGGGGATAAGTAGGCTGAGGACTTTTTATCATAACTGTCTCCCGAGCCTTGGTCACGTTGTATGGGACTGCCTATTGAGTGATGCTAAGGTTAGGCTTTTAGTATTAGGCAAAGTGGCAGATCAGTTGGTGAGATTGTAAATTTTTATCCATTTGGGTGATTATAACATGTTACGTAAGGCATTGTTTGAGGGCGTAATAGTATGCTGGAAGAAAACTAGGGTCGGCCAAACCATCTGTCCATAAAGCCGGAGATTATTGATCTGGGCTGTGTTGTTAGATGTAGTCTACTTGGTTGGGGTCCACGCAGTAACCGTGATTACTGTCTAGAGATTCGACATGAAGAAGCATTCACAACTTATCTTATTCTGGATATTGAATTTCAGTATTCCTTCATACACCTCTGTACCATGTGTTTTCGTTCATCTTAGTTATTGTCATCTTGTGCTAATGTGCTATGGCAACTTGGACCGGTTCTCATCTTTGTCTACCTCTATGTTGATGACTGAATGACCAAGTCAACTTAATCTAGTTCGAGATGCTGCGACCGTCACTAGGTTCATCAACTATCATATTAGGGAATACTGACCTACCTATTGGAATTTTTACAAAGTAGATAATCAGGTTCAATAACTACAACTATAATAGAAAAATCTAGTTAATGTCTTTTAATCACAGGTTTCATTTATATGCCTTCTTTTAATTCGTTATTTCTTTCAGTCTACTGCAACCTGACACAAGTACTATGCTATTAAGTTTCCATTTTTTAAACTAGAGCAGTTAGTGGGTGAAATGTGATATTAGTCAGTTTTATCTATATACCCATAGATTCTGATGTAGCGAACAAGGACACCAGTGGGAACAATCGAATGTATTTAACACAAAATTACAGGACTTGTTAATAAAATCTAACAATCAAATAGTAAATACGTAATTTGCAAAATGTCCATCGATTGTCTCAAAACGACTCAGACTTCATTGTTCTTGTATTTTCATACAGATTGCATTCTGTTTCCATTCTTTGCTGTTCGATCCTCTTGTTTCTCTGCTGCTAGACGTTATGTTCACGACTGACATCATCTACTACTTATGTCAATATAAGTAGCACACACCACACTGAGTTAATCATTTTAATATGAACAAGAATACTCAACTAATAATTTTTACGTTCATTTATCTAGGTTTCTGGACAAAATGGTAATACAACAGAAAATCATGCAAACACCAAGTAGTGTTTTGGCTATTTTTGTTTCCTGTTGTTCTAAATAAAGTTTACAAAATTATAATCGTGTTTTCTTTTTTATTTAGTTCTAAAGACTATATAGATTGATTACACAATATATTAGATTTTTTATGTTTCCATTAGAAACTTCAAGTCTTTTCCTACATCTTAATGTACTTCAAATGTTATTACTCACTTAAATCCATAGATTTAATTTTATAGGGAACCAAGAAATCGATCGTGCAATCACGATTTGAAGATAAACACGTTGTTTGTAGGTTATAAGTGGGTACAAAGTAGGAACTGAGTACTAGAAATAGTTTATTTAAGCTCTTTCCCCAATACGGCATATCTATACTATCATAATTTATGAAGTATTTTGATGCTATAAGGATGAACTACCAAAGAAGTTTCCGAATTCAACAAATGTTTAAGGGTTTTATGAGCAATCCAATTTTGTTAATAAGAAATTGTAAAAAACTATGTATTAATTTGAACGTGATTTCCATCTAGTTGATTCTCGTATGAACTCATCGTAACTTTTGCTCACTGTAACATTAATTGGTATTAATTACTTCAGTGTGATTTTTTCAATTACTTGACTTTTGTTCAGTATAGTATTCAATTATACTAATTCTATATGATAATTGTTCATTTTGACTTTCTTTAATTATTAATCATTGAGTGTAATCTGTATACAATGGAATGAATTCAAATATGGATCAGTCTTTTTGGATTTCTATCAACAAAACGTCTAACAAGCTTGGACTTATGTCTTTAGTCAGTATTCGGAGAAGGAAACAATCTCCTTCATTGATATCGAAGTCCTTGGAGTACAAGCGTCTCAAAAATTCGAAAATTGATGATAAGAAGCAGTCTATCTATCAACAACCACCACTCTTTATTTTCTTTCAGTCTTCTTCCAGAGAAATTGTTCCAGTTACTAGAAACTGAATGGCTCTCCCCCCCCCCCAAAGTATTCAGTGTTTTTGTAAATTCTGTGTTAGTAGGGATTGCCAGAAATACTATGGCAACTGAAATATAAATTTGTTGTGGTAGGTGTCTGTTTTCAGAAAAGATGGACAGCGATTGGTCTCAGACAAGCTCCACGTGCTCTCGTTTGTATAAGTAAACAGACATCAAAATAGTTTGACTTTTCTCCATAATTAGAGTGTGATATCTATGCATTATTTGTTGTTCTGTACAAGCATTGTATACAACATAATTGCTGAAAAATTACTTTGTGAAATGATAAAACAGGTTGGTCACGTGGTGCCTTATTTATTTCGACATTTTTTTTTAAATGCTTATGTTGAAAATTACATTGTTTTATTCAAAATTCCTAAGTGCTTTCTGCATAGCTACAAATCATAAATGGACGGAAAATAGTCCAGTAGTATTTAATCCATAGATCAGTTGATTTTATTACTAAGAGAAAAAATATAATGAACTAAATTATTACGCATTTTTATTCAGATGAAACTAATTTATGTAACTATCGATTCAATGAACATATTTTTAGAAGTCAACTGGAGCTATGGTAAACTTTTTTGATATAGCTTGTTGTCGGTTAACATGCTTCAAAACACATCACATTAGATCATGTAAGCAGACTTCCTAGTTTAAGCAACTTATCTGTGTTGTTCATCTAAGTAGTTAAAATAAGAATAGGAATGTGATAATTTCTAAGCTATAAATTTAAACCTAGTTAATGCAATGCTCATGATACATGACAAAAATTACTCCAAATTAAAGCAAACCTGCGCTTTATCCCGTCTTAGCATAGAGTCGTTTAATTTCATGGGTGCCCTTCAATCAGAACCATTAGAAACTGCGAGTGATATGAATCGGGAAACTGAACAGAACAGGAAATAATATATTTACAGCATAATTAAAACAAACCATCAAGAAGTTATTTCCAAATGACAGTTAAACAAACCGCTCATTTTTAAGTACTCTATAGTAGATTTCCGGAATTATGTTAAGTGTTTTTCAACCATGTTTATCAGTCCTAATTTTATTGGGAATAAAACCAAACGTCAGGGAAAAAAGAATAAACTTGAGTAAGAGATTTGTTATTGCCCCCAAATGCCCTAGCATGGTCGAAAGTGGGGTGGGACCGCCCGCCCTCCCTCTCGAAAGGCTCTCACACGGCCACACGTATACAGCTTTGCCAGGGAAGTCCTACTCACTACCTTCCTTCTCGTGGTGGGGGTGTTGCTTACGAAATTGAGAGAACGAAAAGCGGATGTATGTCGCTTTAACCGGATACCAAAACAATGGTGCACGTGGACCCTAATACCCTAAGGGAACAAATGGCGTATGAACTAATTGTTGGTCACGGGCTGCCATGGGACCACATCTCACGATCCTCCACCGCCTTATGGGTCGGACATTTAGGTCAAAGGCTCGGGGTTTGGCCCCTTAAGAAAACCACCTGCTTCGGTTTGGGCACCCGGGAGATATCACAGCCCACACACAAACAGAAGGAAATGACGATACTTACGGATAATTCTATACTTGCTTCCATTAACGGTCAAACGATCCACATTGTTGTTATTATTATTTACTACGTCATTTATTCACTCCCTTTTATTCCCACTTTATGTATCCTTATTTTTCGACTTATACAGCAGCTCGCTTATGGTGGAAACTCGGTTCTATCTAAACGTTCTCGAGTCACTGCCTGGTTGAAAATTGTATGCTACCACCAAATACGAATACTGAAGCAGTTTTTCTGAAACCACGCGCACCATTCAAACTGGCTGCCTTCAACGTTCGAACTTGAATGCAGGTCGGACAACAGATAGGGCTGGCTATGTCTTTGGAAAGTCGTAATATCGACGTTTGTTGTCTATCCGAGACCCGTATTCAAGACTCTGGTGATGTACGACAAATTCGCTCTCCATGTATCACTTTGAGAGGCTTGTTTTACGTGCGTTTATCGAGGGACCCTGTGGCATCTTCGTCTGGTCTTGCTGACGTTGGTGTCGCACTAAGCGCTAGAGCTGAGGCAGCACTAATCGATTGGATCCCCATTAACAGTCGGTTATGTGGTGTTAGATTAGAAAGTTCCATCAAAGTGAGAAGAAATCGGCGTGAGAAACGATGTCTTTTCGTCATCTCCGCCTATGTCCCGACAGATTGCATGCCGGATGCAATTAAGGATGAATTCTATCACCAGTTAACTGTTCTTCTCCAGAAAGTGCGTTCGACAAATATTGTGGTATTAGCCGGAGACTTGAATGCTCAGGTCGGGCGTCTTCTGTCATACTTCGTAGGTTGTTCAAAACCCGAGAAAGACTGACTCGCGAGGAGCAGACTGGTTTTCGTTCTGGTCGAGGGTGTATTGATCATATCTTCACCCTCCGCAAAATGTCAGAACATCATACCTTCGGTTTGCTGGACAGGACTGTTCTCTGGGATTGTCTATTGAAGGATGTGCCTGAGAAGTTTATTAACATCCTAAAAACCCTATATACAAGCATCTCGGGTAGAATGAGGGCATACAACCACCTCTGTCCATTGTTCCATTCGAGCAGTGGGGTTGAGCAGGGTTGCCCAATCTCACCATTCCTCTTTAACTTTGCCATCGATGACATTCTGGAAACAGCTCTGATGGATGTAAGTAATACCGGTGTGGATCTGTTGCCTGGAGAAAGACTTCTCGACCTTGAGTATGGGGATGGTATTTTCTTACTGTGCGATAATGACCAAGGCATGCAATCCGCACTTAATCAGTGTCCGCAGGTACGGTGTGAGCTTTGCACCTGCGAAATGCAAAGTACTTCTATGAGACGCAGGATTCTAATCCTGTACTCACCCTGGATGGTGAGATAGAAGTAGTTGAGAAGTTCGTGTATCTGGGTAGCTGCATAAATGCTGGTGGTGGTGTGAGTGATGAGATCGATGCACGTATAGTGAAAGCCAGAGCGGCTTATGCCAATCTGGGCCACCTTTGGCGCCTTCGTGATGTTATCTGGCTGTGAAAGATCGGGTCTAAAACGCGTCGGTGAGAGCAGTTTTGATCTATGCTTGTGAAACCTAGCCTCTCCGAGTTGAGGATGTTGGACGACTCTGTGTTTGATCATCGTTGTCTCCGAAGGATTGCTGACATCCAGTGGCAACACCATTTGAGTAACACCGACTTCGGTGGCTTGGATATTTTCTACGGATGTCACCCCAGCGAATTCCACGTCGCGCAATATTTGCTGACTCTGAGACTGGTTGGAAAAAGCGGAGAGGTGGTCAGTATATGACATCGTGTCGTGGTATGAAAGAAAGCTGTAAAGGACTGGCTTCTGTTGGTCCTTCACGACTCCCTGGCTGGGGTCCTAGAAATGGTGCGACGCAGTGTCTAGAGACGTTATGAGATATGGCTCAGAATAGAAGCCAGTGGCGATCCTGCTGTAACCTTCTTTTACTTTCTTCGTAAAAAGTGGTTGTTTCTTCCTTAACTGAAAGATTTCTTCTGGTTGTACTTCTCCGTTTTCCCCATTATTATTATTACACTACCTCACACTAATCTGGTCGTTATTGTTCTTTTTTTCTTTTACGCTCCTTACATTCTTTTTCTCTTGTCATTCTCATTGTTTTGTGTGGCGCATATATATTTGGTGCCCTCTTGTACCAATATTTATGTGTTCAAATAAAAATAATTCATACTTGTATTCTCGTTAAAATACTGCCCTGGACTGTACCTACCAACATGAAAAACTGATAGTTATTGGTAACACAATTGGGTATCTAGAGCTTGGTCTTATGTTCTGCAGTAATACAGATTTGTACGATGGATTATCAGTCGGAAATCCTTGAAAAGTCAAGTCAAATAGTTAATTGCAATGTTATTCAATATGATAGATAAACAAACTTCCATTCAATTTGATAAGTTATATAACACATCTATCTACCAACAAGATTAATGCATAACGCCCAACAAGCATGGTAAATCCTCACAACTTTTAGTATCATTCAAGAATTAATTGAATTTAATCCATTTATGAATCTCAAATAAGATTTAGATTTGTACATGATCATTACAAAAGTAAATAATCTATATCTTGAATGGAATAGGTAACACCATCGAGAACTATTTGATCTAAAGAGTTTTAAGAACATATTTAGGAAAACTTGTGTTCTGCTCTAATGAAATGTACTCTTCTGTTTATACGAGTAGATTATCGGATAGATAGATAGATGCATACAGTATACTTTTATTATTAGTAGAATCACCAGTTAATCAGTCAGTGATGTAATAATGGACTAAAATTGTCTACATTTACAGATAATTACTTCTGTTGGCATAATCATAAGACATTACGAATAAATCGTAGAATGTTAAGGACGCTTCAGTTATTAGTATTTTAGTAAATCTTTTTTATACTCACTAAAAACATTCACAATTCTAGTGAAAGAAACTCCAATGAGTTTGTAGACTTAAATGTATGATATTTTAGGGCTTAGTTCGTGGCGGTGATTTGAGTAAACATGGTGTAATTAAGAGAAGATTATAGTGGTAGGTGATATAGTGTAGAGGACTAAAACTGATACAGGATGTGTGCATATAAAGAAGGGATGTGAAAATGGTATGGTAGCATTGGATTATAATGTGAAGGGAGTAAAATGATTTGTGTGTTTCATATCAACGATTGAAGGTGTTAGTGAGATCATGTGAAATGATATTAAAAGCAAGTAAAAAAGAAGAGGTGTACATTTCCATAAGCAAAAATGTAAGTAATATTATTAGATCCAGGACAAGGGAGAGCTGATAACTCCTTTATATATAAAGTTCAAGTATCACCCCATGGGTAAGCAAGAGTTCCGTTGTTTTAAGCAGTTAAGCACGAAGAAATTTATAAAGTTCTATAAGCAACCTTAAAATCAGTAATGTCAAATAATTGGTTTGTCAGGGTTAATTCAGTGTTCAAAGGTCACATACTTAGCCGATTACCCATCATACTTGCAAAAACAGGTTGAACTGTTTTTTCTAACACGTATCAAAAGCAAACACTAGGAAAGGTTAATGTACCTTGGCCTTTAAAAATAAGGAAATCGGTGGATACATTTAAAGAGGGACGAACGGAAAAGCTTTTCCTTAAAGAATATCGCAGACAATTTCTGGAGTTTGAAAGTTAGTCAAAACTCTTCTGTGAAACTAGCGAACCATTTGAGAAATGTCAGCATTCTTACAAAAATAAGTGAATGACAGGTTAAACCATGAGTAAAAGAAAGGTAAGAAATTTTTTACGAATTCAGACGTTTATCTTCATCCTATGTATCTCTGTGATTTTAAATAGTTGGAAATCAGTTATTCATGAAAGATTTGGACAAATTCAATAAGCAGTCTAAAATTCATTTGTATTGGTTGTTTGGATCGTGCCATCATTATTTCGAATTGTGATTGGTTAGTCTTTTTGGTACATGTGCCTCCTGTGTGGATTACTTCAATATTGTCATTAAGTCACAAGCACTTTAATGAGAATTTGAAGGTGGCTAACAATGAAATTTAAGACGTGCGTTTCGTCCTACTTGGGACTGGTCAGCTGAATGTGGATGCATCCCAGAGTTGATGTTCATTCAAGGACTTCTGTTCACCATCCAACTCTTTAATTTGTTACTTTTGGCCATAATTCAGATGCACAAAACATACTTCTAATCTCTACAAACAGGTAACTCTTAATTACACCAGTTTCTTGATCACTTTTCGTTTCCTAATTTAAGAAAGTGACTTTTTTGAAACCGAATTTTTCCATGCTTAAATTAGTTTTGTCTCAAATTGTATCATTTATAGAAGAATATTGTTTTTCTAACCGAACGAATTTGAATGGTCAATTGAATAAGCAATAAAATCATGCAGCAAATCTCTTAATTTCATTATTGTATTAAGAAAATGGTTTTACTCTGATTTCTACTTTGAATTTTCTCTGAATATTTGTATATAACACATCGGTTACATTTTAAATAAATCATGACTCACTCTTCATGAAATTTAATGGTAAAATTTAATCTTTCAGATTTTACTACCTACTTCAATCATTAAGAACTAAGCTTATAGTTTATTGAATCAGTCACAATAATTATCCCTCTATGTTGTCCACTTCACAATACCTTTTTGGAAAATGTTCTTTAGATTTTTTTGATCTTTTTATTAGGTATACTTCATCTGTATGTATCATACATATACACATACATACTTATGCAAATTTACATTTTAGAACATATAATATTTAGTTATTATTCATATTATCTTCATTAGAAGTGTGTACATCATGTGTATGTAAACTTGGAACAAACATTTGTGTTTATTTGAGTATACCATCGAAATAATACTAAACTGTTGTCATAGTGTTTTCATTTGTCTACTTTCTTTGCGTGGGTGTTTTAACCTTGATTTAAAGGTCACCCATTTGTTTTATAATGCAAGTGTCCAGTGAAAATAGAACTTAGTGCCATATAGTCCTATTCAACAGTTAGTGTAAATGAAAAAGAACGAAATATAATAAAGTTCTTTTTTCAATATTGTAAAGAAGAAATTAATTTTATCACAATTCACAAATGGTAATTTTTTCTTAAATGTTTTATAAATTATCGTTTTTTTAAGGATCAAGCTAATTTAGATGAAGTTCGTGAGGAAACTGAATGGGAACAATGTTCACGTAATCCAGATGTTGCAAGATTTGTGAAAACAAGAAATTTAGTTGAAAGAAATCGACTTCAATCTTTAAGATCTCAATTGGACAAACAATTAGAATGGGAATTAAAACGACTTTCTTTAGAACGACGTGAATTTGCTGATGTCTTAGAAAATTTACGTAAACGTCATGAAAAAGTTGATCGGAGGAATGTTCGAACATTAAAAAATAATCTTAATTCAAATTTTTATATCTGTGAAAGAAATAGAAAACATGATAGATACTTGAACTCTATGAATATGAACGATATTTTACCTAAAGGATTATTTAATTGTACTACTACAAATAATATAAGTAGTACAAATTCATCTTCTTTATCTATTCCAAAAGTAATTTCTTCGCCGGATATAACTAAACTGCTTAACACTCGCAGTAATAATAACAATAATAATAACACTAGCAAAAATTTAAATCCTATACCCACAATAAATACAGAAACATCAAATTCAACTGAGAAAGTTTCAAAACCAAATATTTATCACTTATTTTATACAGATTCCGGTGAATGGATACATTTAAACAAGCTCAGTTTAAATATATCAGCTCCATCGAGTGCATCAAAATCATCGGCTTCATCAAAAGGTATGAAATGTACAAAATCTTGGTCTGAAAATGAATAGATTTAAATAAGATATATGAATGTTTTGATGTGTATACACATTTCGAAGTTGATGATAACTTCATTTTACAAGTTATATATCTAACTGACTATTTGAATATCAAGAATTGCATAAATTTATATCTAAATATACTTTCTTGTTTAGCAAATTGGTATATGTAATTACATAGACCATTATTTATTTTCATTTTCATAGAATTAAAATAAGTGGATAATTCTATGAATTTCAGATTTTATCATTTATATACTTGTAGAACTATCAAGAAAAACAAATTATATTAATTAAATCATACAAATAAATTGTGATTGGTTTATTGATTTAATGAAATAACTGAAATCGAATGTATTTCTTTTTTTTAAAAAAAATTGTTCCAGAACTTACATATTTTGTTTAACTTTTAAAGTACGAATAGTTTACTTCAAGAATTTTCAAATATAAAATATATTTCAGTAAGGCGTACCATGTAAGTTTTGATTATCAACCAATTATTGGATAATAGGCAGGTCAGTCAGTCAGTTAAAACGTAGAACCAGACATATATATATATATATATATATGCATCGGTTCAAGTTGCCATACCTCATTAACACAACAAGATAAACACCGAATTCATAGAAGTAATATATAAAAGAAAGATTACATATAAGGAAATAGTACAGGAAAAAAGAATTAGTTTATAGAAAGAAAGATGTGAAGCAATTTCAATCTCATAGTTTAAGGGATGACAAAGAGTGTATGCATCTATACCATTTTGATCGATTCTGAGTCATGTCATCTAGGTACACATAAATCTAAGTAAAATCTTACCAAATTAACTGTTAAAATTATGTTTTTTTTAATTATAATTACGAAATAGAATACTTTAACAATAACTAAGAAATATTTATAAATATTCATAGTATATTGAACTTCATATAAAAACGGCAATAATGATCAGAAATGAACAAGCTTTATACAGTTTATGATAATTTATCATACAATAAGTGAGTAAAAATATCAACTTTTGAAAGAATAGTACTACATTTTGTGTTTCTTTTTACATAAATAATGTTAATTAGGAAAGAAAAAAATAAAACAAACAAATGAATGAATGAATTTCTGCTTATACTAAGAAGATCTTTCATCTTTATCAGTTAAAAGATAAATTAATGTAATTCATGTTTCTTTTAACTCCACCTGGAGTCCTTCCGGGGGCTACTACCGGTCCCAAGCTCGGATAAACGAGGAGGGTTGGGTATGGGGTTAGTGACTCCATCCCGTAGAAAACTAACTCGTTAAAGTATGTTTTTTTTAAAAAAAAAGTCAATAATTATGAGAACCAATTTGAAAGGGAAATTTAATTTCTTATTGCTGTCATGGATCAATCAGTTAATTTATTTTATTTCTTCATTGTTAACTATACTGATTTGTCATTTAAAATGAAACATGCCTGAAAAAATAATTATTTCGGATTTTTTCTATTTAAGCACTAAAAACACGAAGTTCAGAGAAGGGATCTCCTTTTTCAATGAATTTATTATCAAGCTGTACAATCGTATACATATATATATGAAAATTTCTTGTTCAAGTACTAGTTCCGTGAGGAAATGTAAACAAGGAGTAGCTAAGATGATGTAATGGAGAGATTATAATACTAGATTACGCAATACGAATAATAACAATAGACTTAATAAGTTAGTAACGAATTATAATGTAAATTTGATAAGATGATTGAAATGTTTTCATTACAGTCATTCTATTGATCCACAGTTTGATTTTAACGTCGTATATACGATTCGTCCAAATCTACCTAGATTTCTTCGTATCCAACTTTTAAAAATAGCCGAAGCTCTTACCATCCATGAGCTCAAGCTAGAACAATGTGTACAAAAGAAGTATGTTCTATCATTATCGTTACATATATACTTACGCCTGTTACTCCTCGTGGAGGAGCAAAGGTCGCCCACCAGCACTCTCCATCCAACCCCGTCCTGGGCAACCATTTCCAGTTGATATTCATCCTCTTCATATCTGCTTCCGATTCCCGGCATAGTGTGTCCTTCTGCCTTCCTCTTTTCCGCTTCCCTTCGGGATTCCGATTTAGGACTTGCCTCGCGATGCTGTTTCGTGATTTCCGTAATGTATGTCCTATCCATTTCCATCGTCTTTTCCCAATTTCCTCTTCAGCTGGAAGCTGGTTTGCTCTCTCCCACAGTAGACTGTTGCTGATGGTATCCGGCCAACGGATGTTGAGTATCTTGAGTAGAAAACTATTTATAAATACTCGCACCTTCTTGATGATGGCTGTGGTAGTTCTCCAAGTTTTAGCTCCGTAAAGTAGAACTGTCCTGAAGCTCCTAATGAAGATTCTGACTTTGATATTGACTTCCATACAGTTGTTTCGTAGTTCCATATGTTTTTCAAACGTAAGAATGTTGTTCTTACTTTGCCAATTCCTTGTTCATCGATGATGCTGACCAGTCAGTCACGTGAAATTTCAAACCTCTTACACAGTTTTTCCATCAAGTGTGGTTGGATTGGTGTTCTCTGTGTTACATTTGAGGATCTTGCTTTTTGCTTTGTGTATGTTGAGGCCTTCTGATCCAGAGGCTGTTGCTACACTAGTTTTCTTTATCTGCATTTGTTCGTATGTACGAGATAGGAATCCTAGGTCATATGCAAAGTCCAAATTGTCTAATTGGTTCTGAGCTGTCGATTGTATTCCGTGCTATTCCTTAGATGTCGAGGTCTTCATAATCCAGTCAACCACCAGAAGAAAGAGGAAGGGGGAGAGTAGACAGCCTTGTCTCACTCCAGTCCTTACTTAGAATGCGTCTGCCAACTGTCCTCCATGCACGACTTTGCACTGTAGTCCGTCGTACGAATTCCGTGTGATGTTGACAATCCTCTCAGGACCTCCGTAGTGTCGAAGAAGTTTCCATAATGTTCTCCTATCTACACTGTCAAACGCCTTCTCATAGTCAATGAAGTTGATGTATGGTGACGAGTTCCACTCAAATGGTTGTTCGACGATGATCCATAGTGTCACGATTTGGTCTGTGCACAACCGATCCTTACAGAATCCAGCCTGTTGATCTCGAAGTTGGGCGTCTACTGCATCTTTCACCCGGTTCAGCAACACTGTTGAAACCTTTTACTGGCACAGATAGTAGTGTGATGCCTCTATATTTTTCACATTTGCCCAGATCTTTCTTAGGAATCTTGATGAGATATTCTTCTTTCCAGTCCGTCGTCACTTGTTCTTTCTCCTAAATCTTCTTGAATATAATGCGGAGCTTCTTTGCAGTTACTTCTGTATAACTTAAGTGATTCGGTTGGTATATTGTCTGGTCCTACTGCTTTCTCACTCTTGATTTGTCCTATGGCCATCCTGATTTATTCGGTCGTTGGTGGTGTGACGGCTATAGGACGGTCTGTAGGTGGTGCTTCGATGTCCGGTGGGTTCAATGAGACTGGCCTATTCAAGGGTTCCTCGAAATATTTCACCTGTCTGTTCCTCTGTCCCTGAATCTAAGTGATTGGCTTACTTTCATTGTCCATAACCGGTCTCTCTGGTTTACTATATTTCCCTGCTAGTTTCCTCATTGTATCATATAGCTGTCTCATATTTCCTTCACTTACAGCTTTTTCCGCTATTGTTACTAGGTATTCCACATATTTTTGCTGATTCCGAGCATCGTCAAAATTGTATCTCCTCATTTTCGTTGCTATTTGACTGGTCCTCACGGTGTCCCACATTATCCTGACATTCCATTTACTTATAAGAATTGTTTCGATGTTTGCTAGAAGGAGCACCAGCCCTGTGTCTTCCGAAGGACCTCAACTTTTATCATGAGCCGTCACAATTTTCATGAATGATGACCCTTGAACTCGGAGGGCGGAATTTAAGTGGTTTAATAGTTTAAATTGTTTAATATGGTTGGCGTTTTTTGGCAAGTTTGTTTTCTACGGGATGAGGTTGCTGACCCCATGCACAACCCTCCTCTCTTCCCCGTTCTTCGGACTGGCAGTAGCTCTAGAAAAGCAATAAGCATTGTTTTTAGAGTTGCTAGTCTCTTGTTTCTCTGTCCCAGTCAACCAACAAAGGGGAAACACACCAATATGTCTGCTTTTTCGCCTGTTCGGGGGAAATAATGCGGATTTCCCCCTTTTTGCCGCTCTGTCTCTCAAATGTCGCTGAATTGTCTACTTTTCGTCGAAATACACGCTAAATTGTCTACTTTTCCTCCAACTTTTAAAACACCATTAGCATAACTCCAAAGGTCTCCTATGTTCGCCTTTATTCCCACAACACACCACACTAAAACTGCAATCCACGTGAAAAATGGTATATGTTTAAATAAATTTATTGAAAAGAAAAAGCGTATTATTATACAACAATATAGCAGGAGCTTGAGCAACAATCGTCATGCATTTTCATTGTAATTATCAATTCATTGTTATTTGAAAAGATCTGCAAACGAAGAAACAGGTGATGTATTATTAATAAGGCACGTGTATTTGAATAAGAAAAAGAGAATTCAGCGAAGAAAATTTTCTTTTCGACAAAATCATTTACTTAAACTGTACATTCGTATATATAGTTATATGGGAAATGTATGTTTATATGAGGATAGAAAAAATTGCATCGCCAAAATGGATCCGAGGATAAATAACAAATGAGGTTACGTACTAATCAATGACACTATGGATTATTTTAAGCATGTATATTTAATTGCAAGTTCACTGAAAATCAAACAAACTTTCTCAACACCTGAATAAAGTTTCTCATGTATCGTATTGGACTAACAAGGTAATTAGTTATAATGAACATGAAAAACGGAGAGCACGTCACTCACTTGCATCACGTTAGTTATTTGTGATGGCTACTAAGCATATCGGAGCACTTTAGCTAAACAAAAAACAAAGTTTATATGTGTCTCAGCCAAATCCTTGTGTCCGTATTTTGTAACTTGTGTTAATGACAATAGTTTTGTGTGTTTATTAAACAGTGCGTTATTTTATGGACTTTTGTGAAAATATAAGTACGGGATGCGGCATATTCAAACACGGTACGTTACGTATAGTTGTCGACCAATTTCCCCCGAATACACGAAGTAAGGGGGAAAAATCGACATTTCCCCTCTATTTACGCTTCCGTCCCCTTTGTTCACCTCTATTTCCGCTTTATTGGTTGTTTGGGGTTTATTCTCTTCCCGATTTTCTCACTAAGAGACGGAATATTCCTACCAGACTTTCCTGTTTATGTCTTTTGAGAAAAAAA